AGCGTCTCTGGTACCATGACTCTCCTCCACAGAGTCCAGACCAGATTCACTCAGCCTCTACATGCTGGGATTTATGTTTATGCCGACTCCATTTTAAAGTTCATTAAACTGAAATAGTCAGCAGGGATCTGAAATCTAGTTTAAGATGTGTATTTTAGTTTCAACTTCTTCAGTCTCCGTCGTTGATGATGGAACATCTTGACCTCCATTTCCTCACTGCTCAGAGAATCATCTTTCTTTATGTAGCTACTTTGTCATCCTGTTTGGGGTTTTATTGATGGTGGGGTTGGTTTCAGTGGTACCTCTTTCTGTTAATTCAGCCATGGAGGCTATCTGCTCATTTTGATTCACCTTAAATAATCAGATTTACTTTGTCAGACCAAATGTTGTCCACATTAATCCACATGATAATCAATCAGGATATCAGTCGTTGTTTTACTGGACAAATATCAAATTCTGGCTGAAGCTGAGAGTAGAAATTCATTTAAATGTAGAAATTTACAGAACAAGAGTCACTGTCTGCTTCATTCAGACACAAATATTGTGTCTGAATATTGTATTACATTTCTACAATTTGAAACATTTTCCACAGGCAAGTGGTCACATTCTTAAAATGTTTATATACATCAATTTGGGGCTGTAAATGTGTTCATTGGGAAATGTAAAAAAAAAAAAAAAAAACTCTGGAAATCCCTAAAATCAGCTCAGGTTTTGTTTGAAAAGTGATGTTTATTTTCCTCTCCGTATTAATGTTTTTTAGGCGTTTTTATTGGTAAATATTTTTTTTTCCTGCTCTTGGTGTTAAAAGTCGTAATAAATGTAAAATCTAATGCTCTTAGATATTTGTAAAACAAATGTCAGTGTAACATGATTCGCCATCTTTAGTTCCTGGATCTAATGTTCCATAAATCTTTATTTTAGTATTTAATCAACAAATATTTAATTCAATAAAATGAACCAACATGGCTGACACAGCACACCTCGTGTTATTTCAAGTTCACAGTTACAAGCGCATCAATCTTCATTTGAACCAAACCTTGGAAAAGGCACCTCAGCTTTTTAACACTGCCATCTTGTGGACAAAATGTGCAACTACCAGTTTTGGGCTTGAACAAAACCCCAAACTGGTAGTTGCAGTTTGTGGTTTTGTTCAAGCTGAAGTCAGGATCTGTGAAGGAAAGCACAAAGGGATCATGACTGAGAGGGTCTGAATCAGTTAAACCTCGTCACTGGGAACATTTATTTATGAGATCTAAACAAAACCAGCATCTCCTAAACGGACATCCTGAAGTGTGGAGACATTTCCTCTGAGAGAATAAAACTCAACTAGAAATACATGCTGTAAATGGTCTAACGTGGGAATGAGCATAGAAATGTATACTTTTGAACAAGATGTAATACCAAAGTAATTGTTTATTGTAGCATCTAAACATGCTGGCTGTTCTTTTTCTCTCTTTGGGGTTTAACTCACAGCTGATGAGGAAGACAGAATCTGGCAGAAGTTGAGAGCAACATCACTTGCTGTCTAATTCAGATGTGAATTAAAGTGTTGAAGCAGCTTTCCCTGATTCTCTACCTACGTGTTGTTGCACACAGTAGCTCTGTAAACAAGATCATCAACTTGTAAATGGATGATAGCAATGACTGCCTAACTTAATTTTCTGTCATTTGTGGCGCTACAGGTCCAAAAGTCACTTTCATTGAGGTTAAGTGTAGTTACAGGTGTGGCTTTACAGACTGTTGTTTGATTTGTTCCTTTATGGAGTTGTTGGTCTGATTTGAAGAGCAGTTTGTTTTTAATGTTAAGAATTACATTTTTAGCTGGAGATTACTTAGTTTTTTATAACTGACAAACTGCTGCCAGAATAAGAGAAACTGATCATGAAATCTGGATCTACATTTTAAACAAACCTTGGACTCATCCCAACTGAGTATCCTCTCTGAACTGGACCCCAAACTAAATGCATCTTGCTGTCCGGTAGCTGACAGGGTGTTGAGTTGTGGAGACTTTGGAGCGTGTCTGATGCAGAAGGAGAGCATCCTACCTCTGTCAGAAAATCTTGCTGACTTCTGATTACTTCAATTTGAAAAATGTTCTGTGATTTCAAAACTTTAGCTCCGGTTTGTAATTCCAGAGTACAAAAGTGCTGCAGGGTGTAGATTCAGCCTCCAGATCAATATCAAAACCCTGAGACATTTGATTACACACAAGTGGGTGAACTGTTCATGTTCGTAATTTAACTGTGTTGCATGTATTTATCTGCTTGATTGTGTAATGACACAATGTGGACTCTGTTCAACTTGTTGAATATTGCTTAAACTGAATGGCACAACCTCGGGGTGGGACATTCTCATGCACTGGTGGGTTTGTGCCTTATTAGAGGCACAAAATAAGGAAAGGTTTTATGCGACGAAATTACAGTTTGCATGGCCTGGTTGATTTGCTTCAAACCAGTAAGATCCACTTTGGTTGAGCCTGATGTTTATTGCCCAACCCTTTAGATATCAGAAGGCAATGAAATGGAAGAGCTCAAAGTCTGACTGAATGACTCACATGTTTGGATTAAAGTTCAAACTAATTAAACCTATAAGACATAGAAACTCACACAATCGTTACTGAGAGGCGAAATGGCTCAGAGAGCAGCACAGCTGCAGAAGATCACCTGTTCCATCTGTTTGGATCTACTGAAGGATCCGGTGACTATTCCCTGTGGACACAGCTACTGCATGAACTGTATTAGACAATACTGGGATGGAGATCAGAAGAAAATCTACAGCTGCCCTCAGTGCAGAGAGACCTTCAGAAGAAGACCTGCATTGAGAAAAAGTACAATTTTAGCAGAGTTGGTGGATGATCTGAAGAAGACTGGACACCAAGTTGCTGCAGCTGATCACTGCTATGCTGGACCTAAAGATGTGGCCTGTGATGTCTGCACTGGGAGGAAGAGGAAAGCTGTCAAGTCATGTCTGGTTTGCTTTGTTAATTACTGTGAGAAACATCTTCAGCTTCATTATGAATCTCCAGCTTTGGCAAAACACAAGCTGGTGAATCCCTTCAAGAAGTTCCAACGAAACATCTGCTCTCGTCATAATGAGGCGATGAAGATCTTCTGTCGTACTGATCAACAGTGTATCTGTTATCTCTGCACTATGGGGGAACATAAAGGCCATGAAACAGTCCCAGCTGCAGCAGAAAGAGCTGAGAGGCAGAAGGAGCTCCAGAAGTGTCGACAACAAATCCAGCAGAGAATCCAGGACCAAGAGAAAGATGTGAAGCTGCTTCAACAGGAGGTGAAGGCCATCAATGTCTCTGCTGAAAAAGCAGTGGAGGACAGTGAGAAGATCTTCACTGAGCTGATCCGTCTCCTCCAGAAAAGAAGCTCTGATGTGAAGCAGCAGATCAGATCCCAGCAGGAAACTGAAGTGAGTCGAGTCAAAGGTCTCCAGGAGAAGCTGGAGCAGGAGATCACTGAGCTGAAGAGGAAAGACGCTGAGCTGGAGCAGCTCTCAATCACAGAGGATCACACCCAGTTTCTCCTCGACTACCCCTCACTGCCAGCACTCGGTAGGTCTAAACACTCATCCAGCATCAACATCCGTTCTCTGGGACACTTTGAGGACGTGACAGCAGCTGTGACAGAGCTCAGAGACAAACTACAGGACGTCCTGAGAGACACATGGACAAAAATCTCACTGAAGATTATTAAGGTGCATGTTTTACTGACAGAACCAGAACCAAAGACCAGAGGTGAATCCTTAAAATATTCACAGGAGATTACCCTGGATCCAAACACTGCAAACATGAATCTGCTGTTGTCAGAGGGGAACAGAAAAGTAACATCAATTGACCAACAACAGTCTTATCCTGATCATCCAGACAGATTCACTGTTTTTCTTCAGGTCCTCAGTAGAGAGAGTCTGACTGGACGTTGTTACTGGGAGGTGGAGTGGAGAAATGGAGGAGTTTACGTTGCAGTTTCATACAAGAACATCAGCAGATCGAAATTGTCAGATGAATGTAGGTTTGGATCCAATGAAAAATCTTGGTCTTTAGAATGTCACTGTTCCAGAAATAGTTACATATTTCATCATAACAACATTAAAACTCCAGTACCAGGTCCAGTTTCCTCCAGACTAGGAGTGTACCTGGACCACACAGCAGGTATTCTGTGTTTCTACAGCGTCTCTGAAACCATGACTCTGATCCACAGAGTCCAGACCAGATTCACTCAGCCTCTGTATGCTGGGATTAGACTTTACTATGGATCTTCAGCTGAGTTTATTAAGCTGAAATAGTCTTCTGAGGAAGACGTCCATACATTTCTAGAGTTGGCTAAGTAGCAAAATTTCTCCTGATTATGCAGAGAAAACCTGGTAATGAATTGAGTTATTCATTAAACTGCATTGATTAGATTCATTAAGATGATGCTTTGTGTTTTCTCCAAATAATACTTTATTTCAACTGATTGTCCTTTTGTTTTACTTTCATGATTATATCAATTTGATACTTTGTTGTTAAATATGTGCATAAACTGAATCCATCTAACATTTAGCATATTGTAATAAGTCTTTCATACCAATAAATTGTGGCATAATAAAAACAGATAACACCTTTCTAAATGGTTTTATGTTATTATTTTAAATTTTATTTGGAGAAACATATGACTTGTAATATCTGTTACTTAAAACAGGTGATCTATAGGGCTGCATTTAATACCTTCAGCAACATAAATCTTGTCCAACATGAATCACATCAACTTAACTCAATTTGGCCACGTCATACCCCAGTCCCAAGTCCCTGAACTCCCCCCAGAGTTGTGTGGAAAAATTGCCTCAAATGGTAGCAGAGGGCCATGTTCCACATTCTGCATTGAAAACCAAAGTTCTCGAGTGCCTTTTAGCCTCTGCTTTGGCTAGGAGTGTCCCACGTGGTCATGCCGGGTTCGGTTTTAAAGACCGGGATTGCATGATCAAAACAAGACCACCTTTTTCTTTGCAGCCCCAGTAATCACCCCACACACTTTAGGCAAAGTATCAATAAGGGCTAGTAGACAGTCACCAACAATGCTTTGCATTGAAAGTATTGAAGGTAAGAATAGGCCTCAAGTGTGGTTGATCCCTCTGCTTCAGCAATCCCAGGCATTCACACTGGATAAAGGTTTAAAGAGCAGGATTCCCCAATTAAAAAGAGTCCATCCATGCCTCGGTAGACCACTCCTATCCCCTTCAAGAACCCTAAAGGGACTGCAAAGTAGTTTTGGAAAGATAATGGGTCTTCAAGGGGTCACGCAATGCCTTGTATTGAGATAGGGAGGCCGCAACTGGCTTTTTCACCTCGATTTCGGGTAGATGGGACCAATCCATGCTTGCCACTTGGTTCTTTTTTTTTTCTTTTAGAGTGGGATTGGCTGACCAACAAAGATAAATGTTTCACCCTGAGAAAGAGCAGATTAGGCTCTGCAACCAGTCACCCATTTCTTTTGGGTGGAATATTCTCTTTAAGGCTGCAAATGTCTTTGCAGAATCCAGCAAATAAGTTTTGTGGTCACTCTAAGAGGGGTGTTTATTTCTGATAAAGGTCGAGGATCCTCGACAAGTTTGGAAACCAAAACTAGTAAATACCTGCCTTATGCTCAATAGAACTTTACTGAATCCTAATTCCTGTGGTTTTAAACATGAAATAAAGGTATTTTAGCTTTTACCTTTATCAATACACAATTTCTTTAACAGAAGCCCTTAAGGTGTCTTGTACAAATACCATTTGCAAATGGAGGCCAATCTATTCCTCAAAGGGAAAAGTTTGTTGGATCCTTTATTGTTTTATATCCTTAGAATTTGATCAATTAATTTATTACTGTAAGTGAGTGATTCACCAGATAACATCAGTTTGAGTTCTTTGAACTCAACTGGGGAGCAAAACCTTTTAATAGAAACAGTAGGATCGAGAAAAATAATAATGAGTGAGACTGTCTGGATCTTTGCTCTACTGAAGGTCATTTCTCCTGAGAAAACCTTCGGTGTGTTGGCTAAGACACATTACCACCAAACAAAGATTAAACATAATAGCATGACACAAAGATCAGAGTAATAAAGTCATACTAAACTACCTGATAAACTATTCCACCGTCATTTATGACATTCTGCAGCCATCATTATCTACTTAGTCCACATGAAGTACAGTAAGTTTAATGAGCTGATATTTATATAGATTAGATAAAACTTTGAAAAATAGTTAATAATCAAACATAAGTGCTCCACAAAAATCCCTCTTTGATCCAGTTTATTTTATTTGACCTTTATTTTACCAAGATGGCTGAGAGCAAATTCTCATTTTCAACATCAAGCTGTTCAGGAAGCATCAAATTACAATACAGAGAACATCACAAAGCAGGAAACAAAAATAAAAAAAGCAACTTCTAATCTATGTGTATAAAAGTCAAGTACTGAACTTCCTCATTGGAGGCAATGAGGAAGTTTTCCCTGATGATTATGGCTGATTCTTGCTCACATGGAGATCACAGCTCTGTAAACTGGATCATCAACTTGTAAATCAAAGATGTTAAAGTTCTGCTGCAGGTTCAAAGGTTTTAGTAACAGGTGTGGCTTTAGAATAGAATATAAATATAATTTATTGTCTCACAATGGACAAAAATCCTGTGCAAGAGCAGCAAAGTGGCAGACTAATTTTAAGTGTTCCTTTTCTGTAGCTGCTGATCTAATAGGATCTGCAGTTTTCTTTTTTGTTAAAAAATTACCTTTTTCAGTTTCTTAAAACTAACAAAATTATGTCAAAATTAAATGTGGATCTACATTTTAAACACAAAACAGGGGACAAAAGCTGCTACTGTTAAAGAAATAAGCATTCGATTTCTGGTTTGACATACCTCTTCCTGTAACTAAAGTCATGTGAGTCTATCTTCTTCCTGCTATAAAACACCACAAGCTCCACTTTGTTCATTTTGATTTATATTGCCCAACCAATAAACAATAGTGGCAGAGCTCAAAGTCTGACTGAAAGAATCACAAGTTCAGATTGAAGTTCAAAGTCATTAAGCCTTTAAGAGAGAGAAACTCAAACAGTCGCCGTTACTGAGAGGTGAAATGGCTCACAGAGGAGATCGGCTGGAGAAAATCACCTGTTCCATCTGTTTGGATTTCCTGAAGGATCCTGTGACCATTGCATGTGGACACAGCTACTGTATGATCTGTATTAAACAATCCTGGGATACAGATGAGACCAAAGTCTGTAAATGCCCTCAGTGCAGGACAGAGTTCAAACCGAGGCCGGTCCTGGTGAAAAACATCATATTAGCAGAGTTGGTGGAGGATCTGAAGAAGACTGGGCTCCAAGCTGCAACTGCTGATCACTGGTATGCTGGACCTGAAAATGTTACCTGTGATTCCTGCACTGAGCGGAAGACAAAAGCTGTCAAGTCCTGCATGGTTTGTTTGGTTTCTTATTGTGAGAATCACCTTGAAGCTCATGATGACGACCCTGAATTAAAGAAACACAAGCTGGTGAACCCGTCCAAAGAGCCGCTACACAGCATCTGCTCTCATCATGATGAGGTGATGAAGATCTTCTGTCGTACTGATCAGCAGTGTATCTGTTATCTCTGCTTAATGGATGACCACAAAGGCCATGACACAGTCCCAGCTGCAGCAGAAATGGCTGAAAAAAAGAAGAAGCTCCAGGTGGCTCGAAACCAAATCCAGCGGAATATGCAGGACCAAGAGCAAGAAGTGAAGCTGCTTCAACAGGAGGTGGAGGCCATCAATGCGTCTGCTGATAAAGCAGTGGAGGACAGTGAGAAGATCTTCACTGAGATGATCCGTCTCCTCCAGAAGAAAAGCTCTGATGTGAAGCAGCAGATCAGATCCCAGCAGGAAACTGAAGTCAACCAAATAAAAGAGCTTCAGGAGAAACTGAAGGAGGAGATCACAGAGCTAAAGTGGAAAGACGCTGAGCTGGAGCAGCTCTCAAACATGGAGAATCACAGCCAGTTTCTCCTCAACTACACTTCACTGCCAGACCTAAGTGAGTTTATACACTCGCAGGGCATCTACATGCATGCTTGGAAAAACTTCAAGGATGTGATAGCAGCTGTGTCAAAGCTCAGAGATCAACTGCAGGATATTCTGACAGACACTGGTACAAACACGCCAGTTAAAGTCAGCAAGGTGGAGGCTTTAAAGTCGGAACCAGAACCAAAAACCAGAAATGAGTTCTTAAAATATTCAAAAGAAATCACTCTGGATCCAAACACGGTGAACTTAAAGCTGTTATTATCAGAGGGGAACAGAAAAGTAACGAGAAAGAATAAAAAACAGTCTTATGCTGATCATCCAGACAGATTCACTGGTTGTTGTCAAGTCCTGAGCAGAGAGAGTCTGACTGGACGTTGTTACTGGGAGGTGGAGATGAGAGGAGACAGAGTTGGAGTAGCAGTTTCATACAAGACCATCAGCAGAGCAGGGTTGTCAGAGAAATGTGAGTTTGGAATGAATGACATCTCTTGGTCATTTGACTGCCGAACAAAGAATTACACAATTTATCACAACAGAGTTGAAACTCCAGTATCAGGTCCAGTTTCCTCCAGAATAGGAGTGTACCTGGACCACACAGCAGGTATTCTGTCTTTCTACAGCGTCTCTAAAACCATGACTCTCCTCCACAGAGTCCAGACCAGATTCACTCAGCCGCTACATGCTGGGATTTGGCTGTTTTATGTTGACTCATCTGCTGAGTTCATTAAGATGAAATAGTCAGCAGTGATCTGAGATCCGGTTGGTTAAAATCTGTTCTTTGGCCCAAGTCTCTTTAGTCTCCATCATTGTAAACTCCATGTAATTTCTTCACTTCTCTGAGATCAGCCATCTTTATGGAGCTACTTTGTCATTGTTTTTAGTTGATGTTGGAGTTTGGATGTTGTCCCGTCTCTCCAATGAAGCTCTCGTCTTTCCTATTTTTGACAGTCCAAACTGTTGTGTGGTTCTGTTAGTATGAAGCCAACTTCTGCTCCATTACACTCTGCCTTTAGACAAAAAACAATCATGAAGGTTAATCACTTTTTTCTTTTTTTTAGTAATCAGTGGTTCATTGTATCTTTTAGTTCTGATTTTTATATTGTGTGGAAATTGTGACTGAAACTGTTTATCCTGTTAATGATTGAGTCTATGACGTGTGAGGTAACTGAAACGACTGTATGTGATGCCACTTGGGAGTCATACATTCATATAACTGTCTGAATAAAATCCCTCTGATTTACTGCCTAGAATAACCAATGAACAGATCAATCGTGACCAGTCCCTGGAGGCTGGTCACATGTACTGAAAATAACTGTTGAAAATGTATTTTTTCTAAAAATCCTTTGCAGATTCAGCATTTTGAGTGAATCCCTGCTGAATATTATTTGGTTTTTCCTGCCATGTGTGATTCAGGCTTCAATATTTCAGGCTTAGTTTCTAAATGCGCTGAAGCAGGTCAGTTTTAGATGTGATTTATTTCTTCATATAACATTTGATAAACTGTCACTCACTGGAAAAAGTGTAAATGATATTTTAGATTCAGTTAAATTTACTGATAAGTGATCGAATGAAATTTTACTCTGTCAAGCTGTGAAATTGATATATGAAAGTGTTCTGATTCAAACAAACTGTGTAAATTAAGTAAATTTTGATGAAATCCATTTGTACCGTCAATGAAATGTAATGGAAGCTTAAAATCAATAAGCAAACTTAAAATTTTCAATCACATTTATCATCTTTACTGGCTGCAGACCAATGGTAAAAAAAATCTGTTTTTGTTTTTAAAAAAGTTATTTTTCAGCATTTGTTTATGTATGCAAATCAAAAACCTGAAATAGAATAAAAAGTGTAAGATTTACTTTGATTTTTTTAAACATTAAACTGTAACTAAGAATTGTTTTTAGACACAAAGTGTAAATTTTATTGAAATCTTAATTCTTAGTTTTTTTTGTTTAAAAAAAATGTTGAATAAACTCTTACCAAAAAAAGTCTACTTGTTTATTGAACCATCTTCTTTTACTTGTTTATTGTCCTGACATTTCAGGATTAATGAATAAATGGTTGCCTCCGTGCAAAAAGGCAGATTTTCTGTTCAAAAACGATCCCTCTGACCAGAATCCTTCTTGCATGACCAGGGGAAGGGTAGGTCTGGAGAAATGAGTGAGTTTTTGTTGACTGGATGTATGTCGGCGAGTTGCCATGGCTCTGGGAGAACATTAGTCCAGACAACAAACAAAGTAAAGAATAAAAACCGGTAACACTTTATCTGACGGGGTGTGCATAAGCCTGACACGACACTATCATAAACATGACATCTGTCGTGAACCTGAAGGAGTCTTTATGAATATCTGATGTCAGGAAGTGTCATTTACCGAATGACACTTCATGACAACAGTCATAGACATTCATAAAGACGCCTTCGTTTTCATAACGGGTGTCATGTTTATGACAGGGTCATGTCAGGCTGATCTACACCCTGTCAAATAAAGGATTACATAAAAACCATAAGCAAACTACTCTGGTTAACAGTAAAGAGACTTTCCATTGGGATTTCTTCAAAGGAAAGTACCACACACACTTCAGACTCACAAAAGAATCAGAGTCCCACCAAAACAAAAAGCTTCCCATCGATACAGAAAACAGTCTTTCACTGGACTCCCCCAACCTGAAGCTATCATAGGCTAACTAGGTGAACACATTCGCTCACAATCGCAGACAGGAAGTTTAGATCTCACCCAAATCTTATATATGAAACATGGAGGTCAGGAGGAAACGACCAAACTCTGGGAGCCACTAACTGGTTTCCAGCCACCAGAAGACTTCAGACATACTTAAAGACTCTGTATGAGTAACACAAAGTTCCAACGCTGAGGTGTGTTTGAGTGTTGATTCTGTTGGATCGGTCCTGCTGGGCTTGTTTGACCAGAAAGCCACTTGCTGTTGAAATGTAACTTATATAAGCGTGTCGGTCTATTAAAGTTTGTTTAAATTAAATGTGGAGACTTGGTTTGCCTGCTTCAGAAGGTTTCCTTTACTTTGAGCTGTTCAGTTGGAGGTCCAGAGGTCACGTTTTATTCAGAAGCTGATTTTAATTGTATTTCCTGAGTGTTTTTCTTTTCTAAGGAATTTAACTTCCTAGAAAGTGTGTAATGTCCCCAGGCTGTTTTATCAATGTTTCTATTGTGGCGTCTGGAACCCAGGATGTTTATAGATCATGCTTGATGCTGAATGGGCCCGTCTGGGCTCAGAGTGAGCGGCGGTTTGGGGATGTAGATCTTTGGCCACCATTATAGCAAAATTAGGAATGCTTTTAAAAGACTGTAATCACAGGAATACAGCATTTAATGTGAGATTCTTTTGTGGCTTTTATGGTTGCAGCCATCTGTGTTCAACTGTGTAGTCATCACAGTGAACATTAAATGGTTTATCTTATTCCAAAAGAAAGCTTTGATAAGTTTCTATGACTGTTTCATGTCAGAAATAAACTGTTGTTGAATAAAATATTTTTATTCTGAATTTCCTGGGGGTGTGAATATGTTTAGGCTAAACTCTTTCAGGAAATATATTCAAGAGTTAAACACACCTTTTGGAAATGAGTCAGTCTTAAAACATGTCTTCTTCCTGCGTTGAGACAGATATTCCAGATTTTCAACATATCTTGACTCATCTTTAAAACCTGGGAGTAACTAAGACCTGCTGAGAGTCAGAAGTCGTCGTTGTTGCTGAGAGGTAAAATGGCTCAGAGAGGAGTTTGTCTGGAGGAATTCTCCTGCTCCATCTGTTTGGATCTGCTGAAGAATCCGGTGACGATTCCCTGTGGACACAGCTTCTGTAAGAACTGCATTAAAAACTACTGGGATGAAGATAGTCAGAGGAGAATCCACACCTGCCCTCAGTGCAGGAAAATGTTCAGATTTAGGCCTGTCCTTGTGAAAAACATCATGCTAGCAGCACTAATGGACAATCTGAAGAAGACTAGACTCCAAGCTGCTCCTGCTGATCACTGCTATGCTGGACCTGAAGATGTGGCCTGTGATGTCTGCACTGGGAGGAAGATGAAAGCTGTCAAGTCCTGTTTATCTTGCCTGGCTCCACCATTAAAGAACCACAAGCTGGTGAATCCCTCCAAGAGTCGACAACAAATCCAGCAGAGAATCCAGGACCAAGAGAAAGATGTGAAGCTGCTTCAACAGGAGGTGGAGGCCATCAATGTCTCTGCTGATAAAGCAGTGGAGGACAGTGAGAAGATCTTCACTGAGCTGATCCGTCTCCTCCAGAAAAGAAGCTCTGAGGTGAAGCAGCAGATCAGATCCCAGCAGGAAACTGAAGTGAGTCGAGTCAAAGATGTTCAGGAGAAGCTGGAGCAGGAGATCACTGAGCTGAAGAGGAAAGACGCTGAGCTGGAGCAGCTCTCACACACAGAGGATCACAACCAGTTTCTCCTCAACTACCCCTCACTGTCGGCACTCAGTGAGTCGACACACTCATCCAGCATCAACATCCGTCCTCTGAGACACTTTGAGGACGTGACAGCAGCTGTGTCAGAGCTCAGAGACAAACTACAGGACGTCCTGAGAGACACATGGACAAACATCTCACCAAAACTCACTGAGGTTGAGGGTTCACTGACAGAACCAGAACCAAAGACCAGAACTGAATTCCTAAAATATTCACAAGAAATCACTCTGGATCGAAACACAGCAAACAGATTTCTGTTATTGTCTAAGGGGAACAGAAAAGTAACGAGGGTAGAAGAACAACGGTTTTATCCTGATCATCCAGACAGATTCGCTGGTTGTTGTCAAGTCCTGAGCAGAGAGAGTCTGACTGGACGTTGTTACTGGGAGATGGAGTGGAGCGGAGGAGGAGTTGAAGTCGTAGTTTCAAATAAAAACATCGGCAGAGCAGGGAGTTCAAATGAATGTGAGTTTGGATTCAATGGCAAATCTTGGTCATTAAATTGTACCACAGACAGTTACACTTTTTATCATAACCTTGTTAAAACTCCAGTACCAGGTCCAGTTTCCTCCAGAATAGGAGTGTACCTGGACCACAGAGCAGGTATTCTGTGTTTCTACAGCGTCTCTGGTACCACGACTCTCCTCCACAGAGTCCAGACCAGATTCACTCAGCCTCTACATGCTGGGGTTGGACTCTTCTCCTTATTTTCGTATAATGGTGGAGCGACTGCTGAGTTTGTTAACGTGAAATAGTTTCTTCAGTCTCCTTCTATTTGTTTATATTGGAGTTTGAGTGACTCTAGTCTCTCATAGTTATTTTTGATGGTCCAAACTTGTGTGTTGTTTAGTTAAAACAAAGTTACCTTCATCTGTATTACTCTACTTTTAGATAAAAAAGATTATTCTTTATCTAATAATCCATGGTCCATTGTATGGTGATTTGTGCTGTTTTGTTCTGTTGTTTGTTGTTTTATTGACGTTGGAGTTTGTTTGGGTGCTGCCCCTTCCTGTTTCTGTTCAGCTATAGATGCTATCACTGCTCAGGAGGATTTTATTCAGCTGGATTTTATTTACATTTATTACTTTGTCAGACCAGATATTGCTGTTCTATCCGTGTACAGATGAGGTTCTATCACATGTAAATATTGTCATTTTGTTTTATAAGTGGTTTGGTGAAAACACAATATTTGTCAGGTTAAAAATCAACTACTGGTTTATGAAACACACAAATACTATGAATGAATAAATAGTTTCAGTGTTTTTATTTTCTTCTTTTACTATTTTATTATTTATTCGTGTGGTTTGTTGAACTTCCAGTTAATGGCTTGATATGTAGTAGATTAATTTGTCTCAGATAAACTGGCTGCAGGAAGAGGATCGTGTTAACAGAAATGAGTCAGCTCCTTGTAATTCTAGTTCTTGGCTTTTACATTCCTTGAATTACTGGACCAGGAAGAGGAGCAGCAACTGCTCCTCATTCAGGTTTATTAACTAATCCCAGAACCAACAAAGGCTACAAATTAGTTTTCCTCTTCCAAATTACAAAGCACTGAAACCTCTGTTTGTTTTTTAATCATCTATCTCAGTTTTTATATTGGATCTGAGGTTTTTATCTTATTCATTGTTAAATACAGTTAGAGTCTTTATATGGGGATTTTAACATTCATGTTGACACGAAAATGATTCCTTAAATGAACCTTTTACCTTTGATTCGTTTGGCTTTTCTGAAAGAATCCTGCCATCACTCTTTGGACTTTCATTTTACTTTCTGAGTGTGAAGAATTAAATGTTCTTCTCCATAACTCCGTCCTGTTTGACCTTTTTAAACTGCTTTTGAGTTTATTTCAACTGAAAACCAGAGATAAAATCTAATTATATTTTGTATGCATAAAAATGCAAAGTGAAAACCGTTTTGGCACCACCACAAAAGCTAATTATCTGCACTACAGACAATTAGTGCCAAGAAAAATGGATGGCAACGTTTATCCCCACGTAGAGTTGCATTAATTTTTCATGAAGGTCTTGAGATGTCGGACCATTAAGGAAAGTTTCTCCGGTCTTCTCTCAGTGGGTTTAAGGTCTGGACTCTAGTAACCGACCCGAGTGGGAAAACTACGTCTCCTCCTCCAGAACCAATCCATCACAAGTTAAATATTAAATATTACTGTCCTAAAAGGGAAGAAAAAAGGCTGATGGAAAAACTCTGCCATTCAGTATGTTTAGTAGTCAGCTGACTGTCCTGTGGGTGAATAATGTTGCAGAAACATCGGATCATGGCAACGCCCCCCAGGCTCGAACAGTAACTGCTTTTCATCCTATAAGCTGCAACGTCTTCTCGGCGTGACTCTATTTGAGAGCGTTGACTTGATCCCTACAGAGTGTAGGGGTGTGTGTGTGTGTGTGTGTGTGTGTGTGTGTGTGTGTATGTACCTGTCTACATTTCTTCTATTCACCACCAGATGGAGCCTCTGTACCACAACTGATCCAGACTGGGAACATCTACAAAGGCGTTTTATAATTATAGTTTTTCCAAACCAGTATGTGAATATAACATTACATACACAGTCTTCAGTTTGCATTAGTAAACTTTATGGGTCGTATTACTGACCTCTGACATTAGACAGGATAGTTTTTGTTTCCTTGCTGAGAAAGAAACAAACGTTTCAACACGTCTCAGATGCAGTTCAGACTCTCTCCTCTATGTGTGTGTGTGTGTGTGTGTGTGTGTGTGTGTGTGTGTGTGTGTGTGTGTCGCATCCAGGTGCCACGATGTCTCCTGTGCTGTTGTCTTTATAAACAAACTGAACGCCACGACTGCTGCCATCGTCTTGTTTCTGTGGGATGACAGAGTCTTGGTAATGATTAACATGAAGCTTGTGGTGAAACTCAGATTTATTTTGCATTTCTTTAGTATTTATAGAAACACTTTGAGGAAAACAAAAGTTTAACCATGCATTTATTTATAGTAAGCACATGTCTAAACATTAACTGAGTCTTTCCACAACTAGCCAAATATATAATTTAAGTGGAAAAAGTGACATATTTGAGATTTCTGCAACCTTATATCACAACATTAATGCTTCAGATTTCTCTATTAGGGTACAGTCAGCAAACACCAGAAGCCAGAAGTAATATAACATTTAATTATGCTAACCATTAGATCAGACCCAACAGCTGTTAATACGCTTCAGCTGTGAAGTTACTGTAAACTCAATAAATCGTATTTATACTGTCTGCCATGTAAAGCTGTTGAAGGTGGACATTTAAATGTCTTCCAGCTGCAGTCAGGATTTGACTTTGTCTGGTGAAGTAAATGTAAGCTGTCATTATGAAGGCATAATAAGTGCTTTAAGCTCAGCAGCCTGTATTTATCTTATTTTGAAGTGAGAAAGGAAGTTGTTCTCGAGTTGTCCTGTTGTGTCAGCAGGGTTAAATACTTTAAAATGTTTATGTATTCAGAAGAAAAAAGAAATGGCAACAAAGTGAAAGATAAGTTACAATGTCTGGTAAGTACTGTAAAAATAGAGACCAGCTAAATGTTGCTAAGCTGCTAGGAAAGCTAAAGTTTGGGTAACACTTTATTTGAAGGGGGTGAATAAGACGGTCATGACACTGTCATAAACATGACATAACACCTGTCATGAACATGAATAAGCACTTTTAATACAAAGTTGACATTATTCAAAATGTCTTTGTTATGACAACTTGACATTAACCAAGAAATCATTACTGTTTAAACTTTACCTTTAATAACATAAAGTTACCTAATTTTTAAAGTGCAATCAGTAATACTTTTATAACAAATTTATATCAGTAATGATTTCTTGGTTAATGTCAAGTTGTCATAACAAAGACATTTTGAATAATGTAAACTTTGTATTAAAAGTGTCATTATTTACCGAATGACGCTTTATGACAACAGTCATAAATATTCATGAAGGCTTATTCATGTTCACAACAGGTGTTTATGACAGTGTCATGTCAGTCTTATTCACCCTCCTTCAAATAAAGTGTTACCAAAGTTTGTACCAATCTCTGGTAAACTTAATGGATGTTTCAGTTTTTAAGGAAGTTTGATTGAATTTAAATGCATATCTGGAATTTAAATCACTTTATTTGATTAGTTTTACAATTTTATTGTATTAGTTCTTGTAAAAAAAAGAAATGGAGCATCTTTTTTGCGGTGGTCCGCGGGCGCCCCTAGTGGTCCGCGAGGTACTGCATGTAAACGGCCGTTTATTTGCCGTGACGTCATCTCAAAGCGCGACACTACAGCTAGCTTACCGAAGGATTGTGATTAAAAATACTAATGAATAAGTGGCTTAAAAACTCAAAAGAAAAGCTGGAGATACCGATGGAAAGGAAACAACGGCAGGAATACAAATATGATGGGAGAGTATTGATCAGTCGATTCGATTCTTTTGACCGAGTCTCATTTGGTGAGAACTGTTCTTTGCTTGCTTATGTAGTTTTGTCTTTTTTCAATTGTACTTAGATGTTTTAACTGGAAACTAGACAGAAATACTGGGTGAGATTTTGTTTTTATAATTACTGTTCGTTTTATCTTCTATGTTCTTAATTGTAAGTTTATATATTTACTGAATGTTTCATGTCCGTACCCTATGAAGCTGAAATGCTGCCAATAATCTGATTCTGATTTTGAATGGGATTGTGGTGAAATCCTCAGATTGTAACAGTTATAGAGCAGACAGTAGGTGTGTGTGCAGGAATGTGCAGCAGTCGACATTCCTCAGACTCAAGTCACAACTGTTGCATCATGGGAAATGAAGTCTGCTCCCATGGGAACTGTACTGATATCATGTGTTTCTGTCTGTGAATTTTATTTATCTACAGAAATCTAAAGAAAACGAATCCGTATTCCTCAGGATATGATTACGTCAGCGTTTTATTTTCTGACTTAATCAGATGCAACTACGGATGAATGTTCAAAGGATCTTTGCTCATCAGAATGCACTTCTTATGCGCGAGACAGAAAGGAAAAAGTGGGGCACTAATCTGGTGGGAAAGGTTTGCAATCTAAGAGCTTTTTTTCCTGGATTACTACACATATAAGAGATTAAACTCCCCCACAAGCAGCGCCACACACACATTCCTCCAGACGAATTACATTAATGCTGTCTAATACTCCAGAGTTTATCTTTGTGTCGAATCGGTTTTAATGTGTGCGTCCTCAGCCTCTGGTCGTTAAACGCGGCGATCAGGCTGCGGTCAGATGACCGGCGTGGATAAAAAGCGCGTTAGAGCCTCAGTGGCATGTCTGGCATGCGAACACATTCCCCTCTTACAGTTTGAGTCTGAAGGATAAACCTGATGATCAGATCAAGCTTTCAAGTTTCAGCCACTGGGGGAAATATTTACATTTCTATTCACTTTACAGACGGAAGGGTTTTTGTTTTTGATGCTGGGGAAATTTACAAGCTGTAGTTTTCGCTTGTTTTTCTACCTGAAACTACAAAGATTGAGACTCAGAGCTCCAAATTTAGTTTGAGTCCAATTTAGTTCAGTTTATTCAGCACAAGTCATCAAAATAAAGTCAATGTAATTCAATCTGCTCACCTCTTATCCTGTTTCTGTTTGTGTGAGATTTTATTACCGTTCAAGCTGCAAAAACCGTAATAGTTTGTGTTTTTCCCATTTATTTCCTTACTTTTTGTCTCGTTTCTAGTACAAATTTCTCAGTGCACGTGAAATACGACAACACTAACTCCTGGTTTGTTACTGTAATCCTGCAG